AAATTAATTATAGTTAACACAAAAACCAATCAAATCCATACTATGCGACTCATTATGCGAATTTCAAGCTTTCATCATTCTTGAAATTGTAAATAATTAGAAGCGGTTTAAATTGTTCGAAGCTCTCAACCATTATAAAATATCAACAAAAAAACGGATGAGCAGAGGAGAAAAAACAACTCACAGTGAACCCCCGGCTGCAGGCCCGATTGCTTTACAAACCGACATAGCAGTCATAGATATGCCATTTGCAGCTCCTCTTTGTTCTTGGGACTGAATTAAATGTAAACCGAGATTCGTAAATCAATTCGATTAATCGAAGGTGAAACTAAAATAACCAAACCCAAAAAAATAAGGTGAGGAACTTTACCACAGCTCTGTTTTGAAGAACCAACAAGCCGGTAATGATGGATATCTTGATTATGATTTACAATGGAATTATCAGAAATCAAAAAAAAAAAAAAATACAAAACGTCCAAGTAATATTTAAAACGAACTCACATAGAGTATATTCTTCAACATAGAGGCTGAGTTAAGCATCAAAAAGAGAAGCGGGCCAGACAATCTGGCTATAAACGGGTAACTCGAAAGCAATGGTATTGAAATCACCTGCAAAATGTATATATAGTTAAAAATGGCAAAAGAACAAAAAATAAATAAAAACGATTTCACGTTTTTTTATTTTTTTTTTATTTTTTTATTTTTTTTATGAAAACACATACAGCTCCAATACGAGCAACCATAACAGGCCCCAACAAGCTCTCCACCCAAGTATATAGAAAGAGCTGAAAAACTACCAAACCGAACCCTGAATAATCGAGAAGATGGACCAATTATTAGACATTTTTACATAATTTGGAACTAACCGTTACTAAAATTGATGTGTGTTGTGTACCTGTGATTGCAAGAACTTCTCCAACAATTGTTGTAGTGAAACTTAATCCCCCAAGATTCCTTGGACTTACAGCCCACAAGGAGAATATCTAAAATAACAGTAATAAAAAGACAAATAAAAAAATGCTCGGGAGATGGCAAAAAGTTACGGTGTTATAGATTTACCTCACTATAGGCCATGTCGTGAAGTTGAAAAATGCAATACACAATAATAGAAGACATCAAGGGCCAATTTTTTAAGAGGCTTCTTTGAGATACAGAGGATTCTAGCTCGGGAAGTTCGATTCTCTCGGAGTGAATCGGTTCGTGTGTATTTTCTTCTAACCATTTCACATTTTCCTCACGATGGATGTGAAGAGTTTCCTGCAAATTATTCATACTTAAGAAGTATCTATATATATAGAGAGATATAAAAATGTGTTAAGAGAACTCATGCAACAAAAGAATAATTCGAGACTATGATTATGCAAGAAAACATAAAAATATAGGAGAAAAAAACGTACAGGAAGTCGGTAAGAGAAGAAAAATGCCACCAAAGCAAAGGCTGATATCACAGAACAAGGTAAAAAATACGGAAACCTGCAATATTCGAATTTTTATTCTACGTGGCGTAAAGTTTGCCTTTTTTTGTTTTTAAATCAGAGGACGAAAAATGAAACAAATTGTGCCAAAAGTTAGTATTGTTTTACCTCCCAAATAGAGATTCTTTAGAAAATATATGGGGATACTTCTCTGCAGGCTGAACAAATATAGTAAAAGAGAAAGTTAAAATGTGGAAGTACATTGTAAAAGTATATGTTTATCTGAGTAAATCATTCTAAAGTAACAACAATTTTTACAAAAAATAATTTGCGATTTGGCGCTTAGATTAGCAAAAAGTATGCATTACCTGTGCAAGAAATCCACCAACAGCTGGACCAATGACTAAGCCGATACCCCACGATGTGCTGATCTTTAATGAACAAAATATTTTATTTTTT